AATCTACCCTCAACTGTGAATACCTATAGACAGGCACCTACATTCATCGATATCATTAATATAAAACATCTTGGATAAATTGACATGGTTTCTAAATCGTACTCTTCTTTTCTATTTTAGTTAAATATGAAAGGATCAAGTTCTTGGTGATTGCCTTAAAGAATGCAGTAGAGATATATGCGTGGGCCCCTAAACCTTATCATAAGTTCATGGCATTTAAGGTAAGTGTGGTGTTGCATGTTTAATTCTCAGTTTTTGCCAGAGTTCTGTTTTCCACAAAAGCCAATATCAGTTTTATTATGTAGAAAAAAATTGTTTAAAAAACAATTCTTAAATTTATTATCTCAAAAGACTTAAGTATTAAAAATGCCACCCAGCTCATCACATTAAAATCTGATGTCCTCTTCCACTAGAGGTCTACAAACTGTTAACTTCAAGAGGAATTTACTGTGAAATGGGTACCAGGAAAAGTACCAAACACAACATTACACAACAACTTCTGTTGTAAAGCCACTGAAAGTCAAGTATTGTCTGATATTTTGTCTGAAAAAGGCAGATCTGTGATGGCACTCGAGTCCAGATCATCACTAATATTTTGGAATAAACTCTAAGGCTCGGTGGATATTTGTTTACCCTATTGCACAAAACTGTCTCTGAATTAAATGCTGAAGGCAGTCTCTCATGGAAAAGACCTCATTCCTCTGAATTTCCATCCTGAATACCTTTGTGTTTGTTTACCTCACCTTAGTCTGTACACATCACAGATAGGTTGGCGACTCATAGGTTTGGCGAGAGTGGGATGGTAATGTGCTTTGTTCCATTGACCCCATATTATAAAAAGTGAGCCCCAACTGCCAGAAAAACACAATGTATTCAGAATCACATAGCCTAGCCATATCTACTTTGAATTTTGGCTCCCATTTTCTCTTTCTATTTTTCACTTGCTTTCCCTACCTTTGTGACTATAACTGACTTTTGGATCTTTATTCATCTATGACACCTGCGCTATGTGAAAGCCAAATCTGCCATGAGATTTTGTCAGCACTCTTAGAGAATGAACCACTCCACTCCCATCTTGTTCTTTTAGTTCAGATGGCCCATTTGAGGCGTGCTCTGGGTGATAGACTCATCAACAGAATTGCATTGGCTCTCCTCCACAAGCCCACTTTACAGAAAGACATTTTTTGATTACACTATGTTTATAATGGCAACGCAAAGCTGACTCCCAAAGCTAATCTGGGGCTACTTTGCTGCCAAAATCTCTCTCCAGAAAAGCTTTTCAATCAAGATCCCCTTCCCATCCTGACATCTGCCCTCCGGGTCCTAGACAAAGACCATGAGACAATAGCAACAACAAGATTCTCCCCTCACCAGATCAGACCCTACCTGGAAGAGAAAGCACAGAGGCAAGGGCTTGAGTAGGAAAGACTGGCATAAGCCAGAGGTGGAACCGTCCCCTAAGACAAGGACAAAAGACATTAACTTCCTGTGCTGTGACAATGACAAGAGATGAGGAGAGAGTAGTGTTTAATGGCAGCTGTGGTTTCTTGAGTCTCCTAGAGCCCAGGAGCTGATAAAAGTACAGAATCATAACGAAGGTAGACAGGCAGGAACACTATAGCTATGGGGCTTAGGCCCTGAGTCCAATCAAACAGAGCTGTGGCAAACTTGGCCAGAGCTCTCTTCTTTTCCTTTCCAGTTAAATCCTTGGAGACAAGGACTAATATTTACAATCCATGAGTGGCATGATGTGGCTTTCACATTTTCTTTTCTTATTGCCCAAACCTATCCCTCAAAATGCTGTATGAAGTTTAGAGAAATTGACAATCATGGAATGAAAACCATAACCAGTGTACTCCCATTAATCGCCAATAGATTTAACACAGCACTGCTCCCAGTCTGTTTGGGAAGGAAGCAACCATAGCTGACCATGGTTACCACATCAGAGAGAGGGGGGCCATAGAAATCACTGCACACTCTCTAGAGAACAAAGACCAGAAATACACAGGGAAGAACAGCAGCATCCAGACCCCAAGCTTTTAACACACAATTTTGACACTATTGAAATTGACTACTGTAAACTGTCTTTACTGTGAAAGATAAGAAAAGGAAATTGGAGAACAGAAAATAAGCAATACAGCTTTCCTTCTGGAGTCAGACCTGAAGAGACCTAAACCTGAAAGTGACCTTTTCCTAGCTTTTCAACTGAAGAAAGCTACTTCCTTCAGACAGTGGCCAAGTGAAACTCTTAGGAATAAGACAACCTCTTTAAATGGTATGGATACTAATTAGGTGATTTTTAAAGTCTTTTGCAGATCTTCAGCATAAGCCTCTGCTCGTTGACCTCACAGTAGAAGAAGGTCAAAGGTTAAAGGTCATTTTTGGCTCACATACTGGTTTCCATGTAATTGATGTTGATTCTGGAAACTCCTACGATATCTATATACCATCCCATGTAAGTTTGAGAAATCTACTGTCTCCTGGCCCTTGCATTACAGCCCGTGTGCACAGAGATTTGGTTATCTACTGTCTCCCGGCCTTGCATGACAGCCTGCATGTACAGAGATTTGGTTGGGCCTATTTCTATTTGAAATCATGCTAATCTGTAAAAGTTGCTAAACTTTGGGTATCTCTGAATAGATAGAATGTTCTTAAAGTGTTATTGCTCCCTCAAGCTAAGTAGCACAAAAATGGAATTATTTTGAAGATATTATCTTGTCTTTTGGGGCTTCATATACATATGTTATACCATTAGCTGAGTTCCTGTTTCAGTTTTTAAAAGAAGTTTGATTTATTCTGTGCTAGAGAAGTACAATGGTCAGACACTAGTTTCTTGGAGAAAACCTCTTTTCTGCTATTAGTAGACATGCTGAGTAACTTCTCCAACCCTTAGCTTTCCAAGGTGTAAGGTGAGACTTCAAATAACTATCATTTAATTGACTCAGGACCCAACAGATTCAACTTCTTCTTGTTAACAACATGGTACCCAGTTTACTATGCTGACACATTGCATAAAACATTATCTTTAAAGGAAATGCCACATGGATCTACATATGACAGCTAGTAAGTTATGTTTCATGAATCATCCCAAGGCTAACAAACTCTCAGGATATTCTGAAGCTGATCCATGACTGATTGGCATTTTGAGATATTAAAGAAGCCCAGTGCTTATGCATGCCATTTGGATGCATTTACACACATGCAGTTGTCATCCACGCTGCATTTTACAGCTTTTTACTTGCATGTCCACATCATAGAGGAGAAGCTGGTTCACCAATGATTGTCTTTAAACCCCCAACATCCTATCTGTCAATCACATGTTAGAACGATGTGACACTGTCAACCAGGAGGAGGAGTAGCACCTCCCTTTTCATAGAACCAGTCAACCTATGCTTATTTTAGCAGTATGACTAGTGGTAAGGTAGTTCTCTATTTCCTTTCCCTAATGAAATCATTCTGGTATTGGAGCTCCCAGGTGAATTTTCTGGGTTATATATGCATGACCCTCTTGTGGGCACCCACCAATCTCACCGTATATGGAAGCAGTCTTTCTAGTGGGAACCCAGGAATTTCAGTCTTAGAAAAATGTTCTCAGAGCCTGCTTCTACCACCAAATACTTGTGTAGCTTTCATCAAGTTATAGAACCCTGAGACGTAGTTCCCTCATCTGCAAGAAAGCTTTGTATGATGAACTTTTCTAAGGACTAGAAATGATGTATACACACTGTCCAAAGATTAGCACACTAGGTACTCCATACACCCAATGTCACTGTCCTTAAGAACCACTGGATTCAGGATCAAGTTACTGTGTTTGTGTTTACCTGGAACAGAGATCAAATTAAGGTAGATTTCAGTCTCTAAAGTGAAAGTGACACAAAATTTCATTTGTAATTTTTAAAGATAAAAGTCACAAAGTTGTCTTGGTGTTTTGTTTTGTTTTATTTTGTTTTATTTTGTTTTGTTTTGTTTTGTTTTGTTTTGTGTGGTTTGTTGAGACAGGATTTCTCTGTGTAATAGAACCCTGGCTGTCCTGGACTCCATTTGTAGACCAAGCTGGCCTCCAACTCACAGAGATCTGCCTGCCTCTGCCTCCTGAGTGCTGGGATTAAAGGCGTGTACCACCACACAGAGCTGGTTGTCTTGTTTTGAAGCAGAGTAATCCCTGGCCTCTCTTTGTCTTCTAGATTCAGGGCAATATCACTCCTCATGCTATCGTCATCTTGCCTAAAACAGACGGAATGGAGATGCTCGTCTGCTATGAAGACGAGGGGGTGTATGTGAACACCTACGGCCGGATCACTAAGGATGTGGTGCTCCAATGGGGAGAAATGCCCACATCTGTGGGTAGGTTAACCATTCCTTATCTCCTTCAGCAGTTACACCCCCCAAATGAAACGAAGGGCAAGAAATGTGAAACAACAATTTGAGTCCACACACACAAAAAAAAAAGTCTGTGACTGACACTTGTAAGACTCACTCTGTCTGTTTAATCTCAAGTCCTTTGTCTTTTTTTGTGAGTAACAAATTTTTGTGAACAAATGCTGTGAGTTGTTGCCCATCTAATGTTTTTAATGCAGTTTTGGAAATTCCTTTTGACAGCCTACATTCATTCCAATCAGATAATGGGCTGGGGCGAGAAAGCTATTGAGATCCGGTCAGTGGAAACAGGACATTTGGATGGAGTGTTTATGCATAAACGAGCTCAAAGGTTAAAGTTTCTATGTGAAAGAAATGATAAGGTAAATCCGTTTCAACTTTGCTTTAGTGTTTGCATTTTAAGAGACCACCAGGTACCTGTGAAACCTTCATTTTCCTTTATACTGACTCAAGTCACATCCGTGTTCAATGATCAATGACAATCTTGAAATGGCATTACTTGGTTTGATTCATGTAACATTCAGAATCTATGACTCATGCATCCAAACCAACATAAAACATCTAAAACTTTCTTGTAAACTCTTGGTAACTTTTGTGGCCTGAGGGCCTTCTGGTGACTTAACCATTGTAGACTGTCCTATGCACTTAGAGCAGCTAGCCCATCATCAATCACCTCATAGTGGGTTAGCATGATGCCTTCACTTTTAGGCCTTTCACAGAGACACTGTTGGGACCTAGATTTCATATTATATTCACCATTAAGTGCAGAACATCCGACATGTAGAAATATGAACTTCTAAACAATGTCACTCATTCCTAAGAAACTTAGTCGAAAACTCTACTCCTGCCATGTCCTGTCTCATTTCAGCCATGTGTTTCCTGACATGTCACAGGCGGGGGAGGGGGGCTACATTCCAACGAAAGTGATCACGTCTGTCCAGCATGATCTGTCACCTCACAGGAGTATACTGAAATGGTCATGCTCTGCCTCACCCTCCCTGGAGAGTCAACTGGAGTCTTTAATAGCTAATTTACATTTGTGAGTCCACCCTTTGAGACTGTGTTCACCCTAGTAACCATGTCCACACAGAGAAGAATGTGATGGGTTGAACTGTTTACATCTCTATGTTCACCCCAGGGGCCAGGCTGGTCTTTATCCAACCCTGGTAATATGGATCTAGATTCGTTTACCCTGGCTAACTGCTTCTGACCTGATGTGGTCTAGTAGACAGTAGCTGTAGGAGATAAGAACAGTTACCAGGGGTCTTATCAGAGTATGTCACAAAATAGACTTAACAATTGAGACTCCAACACTTCTGCAGTCCCTAGATCCTAGGACAGGGAATGTTCTGCGTGTGGACAACCATACTGTAGTTCTTGATGATTCACCCCAGTAGGCCTGGTCCAACCCATCCTCTCAGACTGGCACCTCTGGTTTAGTCCCTGAGCTCACAACTAGCAACCTTTTCAGCAGATCTCCACTCTTCTCCCTATTTCTATTCCCTGGCCCCTTAAAGTAGCTGTAGTTTCCTCTGTAGCTCTAGCTAAATGTCAAGCAATTCCACAAGCTTCTTAAGAAGCCACTGAAACAAAGTAGCACAAGCTTTCACTAGTGACACACTCATTCTTCAGACCACAGACACTGGCTGACTGAAGGGCTATTACACAGCCCCATATAGTATTTTCCTGGGGCAGTGGTTCACTGACATTCAGCTCAAGCAAGCAGTAATCTAAATTCTGCTCACTTCTCCCAGGCCTTTGATAAAATGATTAAATTGGCTCAGACCTAATGGACTGTGCTTCTGCTTATTAATGCCATTATCTCCTTTGGCCTGGTATCTACCAACATCAGTAGAGAGCCTAAGTGTTAACCCGTAGAACACTGTAAACACTGGCCATTGACACTTAGCTGACACATAGCAAGGACAGGACATTCGAGAGAAAATGGCTGAACAGTTGAAGAAGAGAAGGGGGAAACCAGAAACCCATGAAGTTGAACTAACTTGTTTTTAATTTCAAACAGGTATTTTTTGCATCCGTGCGATCTGGAGGAAGTAGCCAAGTGTTTTTCATGACCCTCAACAGAAATTCCATGATGAACTGGTAACAGAAGAGCACTTGGCACTTATCTTCATGGCGTTATTTCTAATGTAAAAGAACATAACTCATGTGGACGTCTGCCAGTCTAGAGGCAGAATCAGAAGGCCTGGTTGAACATACTGCTCTCTCCGTTTCCTCTCCCTCCATCTCTCCCAATATAGTCCTTTTTGGTGTTGCAGCCTGGTTGAGAAGGAGAGAAAGAGGTGGCGGGAATGGCTGGGCAAGCAATTCTGAGGATGCTGCATTGTCTGTGGACAGAGATGGACCGTGTGCCCTTCGGAGTTAGGGATAGAGACAAATATTGTGTGCTCTTATGATTAAGCTGTGTTTATGCTGGTTTTTCAGTTCTTTTTTGTTAGATTTTTTTAACTTTTTTTCCCCCTTTACCACCTTACTTTGTAAGAATAGGGGGAAATGCTCACTGGGAACTTAATCTTTTAAAATTCTGTCTGCCTGTTAGCTTTAAGTATATGGTATGTTGTAAATTTTCCAACTCCCAGTAGTGAGAAACAGCGCAATAAAGGGACCCTATCTCCCTGTACTGAAGGCCATAACCACACAGTGGGGTAATTTAAGAATTTTCTTGCCTTCACTAACCCAAGAGGCTGTTTTTATTTTGTTTTGTTTTGTTTTGTCTTTTTTTTTAAATTACTACTGGCTAATGAATTTTTGAAAGAGAAGCAAAATAGCTGGTTTTCTCCTCTCTGGAGAAATAGATTTTAAATGGCTAAACTATTAGCCTTAATCTAATAAAATCAACTACTGCTCTAGTGAGTCTGTCAGGCCATATTTTGATATGGCCCTTTCTGGAATGGAGGATGTTGAATGGAACAGAGATGCCATTGAGTTGAGTGGGCTTGTGACTGGGGAGGGACTCTGGGATGCAACTGTCCCTCAGTTATTATGCAACAGATCAGGGCAAAAGATGGGATGACAGGTGGGTCACCCAGAAGGAGCTTCTGAGAAATGAGCTAATATGTCTATGTAAATACACACATGTCCTTTCTTCAAGGCACAAAGCCTCCTTGTTAAAAGGTCCCTTCATTTGGTCTTTGTTAGGACTGCAACTGATTGAGAGCTTTCCCAGAGCTGGAGGTTACACAACATGCTCTGGAAACCCTCCTGAGGGTGCCACTTTTTCAACATAAAAACTGTGATGGAAAAGAATTACTAATAAATGTTTCTGAGCTGCCTGTGTTCTTACTGGGTCAAGGGACTAGACTTGCAAGCCTGCTATGGATACAGCAGGCACCAATAGCTCAGATTTTAGGGAACCTAAAGGCAAGGCTTTGACAAAATTATAAGACTCTAATCATGTTATGTTCCTCCAAACTTCCCAACATACTGTTAACAACATCCGTGCAGAGATGTGTATGTATTTAGTTCAGGTTGACTTGTGTCCTTATAGAAACCCTTACTGAATGATTTGATCCTTTATGTGACTGACTGGGATTTTCCCCAAAGCTATAAGCATGGCTGCCTATGGTATCCAGGTGTTGCGAAACGGTATCTGTGCTGTGCTTCCTGTTTTAACCTACCTCGTTTTGTTTGTTTTTGTTTCTCTGTTCATCACAGCAGTGTTATCTCCAGGAGACATATAGAGAGCTCACCCGGCAATCTCAACTGTATTGAACATTTTCAAAACAGTAGTTGACCAAATTGTTCTTTAAAAATTGGAGGGAGAAAAAAAATCTCCAATGACAAAATCCTAATGTGGGTTGTTTTTAAAGAATGCAATTACTGTAAATGAATCAAAAAAGAAAGACAAAAACTGTGACTCACCTGGTTTTGCCTAAACAAATGAGCAGCTGATGTACTATTAATGAGAACGTAACATATGTTAGGAAAACGGTACCTCTTTAATCTGGTGGTTGGCCAAAGGGGATGAGAAAGGGAAATATTCTGAGTTCTGGACTAGGTGAATCTGTAATCCCCAAAGGTGATTATTGTTTGCAGTTATCTGAAGCAGGTAACACACAGAACTGTAGTGAGGGTGGTCTTCAAGAGATCACCTGGATGTGCCCATCATGGTTCCTCTAGCTCTCAAAGGCAATGAAATTTTCCCGTTCTCATTTTTACTGCTGGAGTTACGCTGCTGAACAACATTGTCTTCAAGAAATTCCACGGGACAAATTCAGCAATAGCTCTGGGTTCAATTTAGTAACTATCATAATTGGATGCTGATGTGGACAAAAATAATATGGATTTGGGTCTTGTATCCAAATGTGATTGCCACCAGCTCTTTATATTGCTGCTGTGATGTTTTGAACCTGAGGCTTCTTTAAATTATGTTGCAAACTGAACTTTGTTTTAATGTTTTGTTTTGTTCTTATTTCTAAGTGATACATCTGAAACACACAGCTTTAAATGATTTTTTTATTATGGGACTTTGGGTACAGTTAAGAAATAAAAGGGAATCATTGTGTTTAAACATAAGGTAGTTTGTGAATGTATTTTTTAAAATCTAGATTCATTGGAACAAGAAAATCATAAGAAAACATATTAATGCCGTCTTGTTTACAGTATGTACAGTGACATAACATTACATGAGCTTTTTCTGGTGCCAACAAAATAAAACACAGACGTTAAACATCGAGCCATGCCTTTTATATTTTTGTACAAATATTTTGCACTGAGCATACAGCAAACCAAATTGAAAAGAGTCCCAGTAATCTCTGCTCCCTAAAATAAATTTACAGAATTCCTTGAAGCAGTTATCCTCAGAAGTAAATATTCTGGCATTTATGACAGGTCTCAACTCTGACATCATGAGACCTTGGTCATGCAAAATGTATCAGAATGGTGCCCTAGTGTTTCTACATGCAGATCCCAAATTTAGGGTTGATTTTCTTTTCTTTGTTTGTTTCTGGTGGGTGTGATCTACTATAATTTAAAATGTCTTCTACTTTTATCTTTCCTTTTAAAAGTTTTTTTCCCAGAAATTAGCCACGTTTTCATTTTTCCACAAGGCAGAATAGCTCCCACCTCCCCCCCAGTTAAGCTTTAGCAGACCTGTCCATTCTCAGTGCGTGAAGTTGCTGTCTGTCCATCCAGCAAGCCCACCACTGAGCATGTCCATGCCACAGCGTTGGTCTGGGACCTAGAAACAGATCATTGTGCGTGAATGCTGGCTAATTTGTTATAGGTTGGATTCCTGTATCCATTGAATGGTAGAGATGGATGAACTGTATATCTTCCCCACACTGACTTCCATTCAGATCCTACATAGCCATCTCACACCATACAAACAACTTATAGTAAGTACCACACAGAACCTGAGAGTTAGTTGGAGCTCAGTGTTTTTCTTAGGGAATTTTAAACAAACTTCAAGACCTACACTTTGTTGTTATTATTGTTGTGTTTATTAAATAGTATACATTGAGGTCAGGGCAAACTCTCCTAAGGCCACTTGGACTAGGTTCCATGTCTCTGACACTACCACACTAACATTGTTTTCTGGGATACATACCAAACAGACCTTGCATCGAGTATACATTTTTTTTTAAAGTCTTGTAATTCCTGGTTGTCTCTACATACTTCTAAAAGTTTTCTGTCTGCTCTTGTGATGCACTGATAATTGTGTCTCTGATCTCTCTTGTTCAGTAGAGTATAAAGGTGCGTGATACTCAGGCCTGAGCCATTTGCAGTTTTGTCCACTGACAAAGAAGGGCCAAAGTCTGACTTCACAGTCCATAAAGTTCTCTTTAAAAACTGCTTTCCTTGCTGCTGTGTGTATAAGTTCCTGTCACCGTATTCCTAAACCATGCCAGTGTTATGTGTGTGTTGTCTTGGAAAGTCTGCATGAACAGATGCCACTGGCTTTGTGCTGACTGCTCTACAGTATATGGTGTGCTGCATTATTGTTACGAAAGAAGATATAGATGTTGATGAAACTTCATCTTAATGCGTGACAGGAAAACACAAGAATATCTACCAGGCTCCACATCCTCCAGTGTCTCTCTAGTGCTATGTTCTGACCATCTCAACAGTGGGAAATGATTGGTTACCTTTTAGTTCATTCCTGAAAATTTAAAACTAAAGGTCTCAAAGAACACACACAAACCATGTCATGAGACAAGCTTTCCATGAGACCATAGAATTATAACACAAAATTTAAACTCTAAAGTCCATTTCTTTTTTAACCTGATGGAGTTTCACATAAATGCCATTGAATTTGGTCTTGCTCACTACAGCAGTAATAGGGACCCTAAAATGAGCTGTCCTTCCATGACTCTCATAGTCACTACAGTGTGACTATAAAATGATCTCTTTTCCAGAGTCAAACAATGGGTAGAAGCCCTTCACCTTTTGTAGTTCCCCAGCTAACAACACAGACACCTTGGGGAACTATTTTCTAGTGTTTTTATTTCCACATACTGTGTCATTGTTCTAGAAATTTCTCCATGGACAGTTGTGAGATTCAACAATTTGCACAGCATTAAACAGTCTGAGATCATGACCTGGGCTGTGAACTTTATTCCACTGCATATGCCAACCCATGCAGGCCTACCGTACAGACCAACAAAGATCTCCTCAAATGTTTCAAAGTAGAAGCTCCCTGTATAATGCTTGTACTGTCTTAAGTCACATCAAAATCACCCAGAACATTTGGATGAAATCTAGAAAATACAGTTGAAACTAAATAAAAAGAAAATATCGAGTGTTTCTCCACTTCTGACTGTGTGTAATCAACTTTGCATTCACTCGCTCACTTTGCATGAGTTTGGTTTTGATGATTTACTTCTTATAGATAGCAAATTGCTTTGCAGAATGAAGGGCTCGTGAATGCTGACGGGAAGGCACGGATTCATTCCCAGCAATGGGCTCTCATCTGTCCCAGCAACTATCCATATCTCAGCTGCCTTCCACATACCCCTTTCTCCCAGGTTAAAGCATAGCCGTGCCTATGTAGTTTGTTTAAGGAACCTGAGACACTTCCTTAAGTCAGAAGTTCACATGTGCAGAGGCAGTAGTGAGGGACAGGGGCCTAAGTGCATTTAAAACTGCATGTTTCAAAGGGACTTTCCTTTTTGACATTTTAGCTGCCACACACTACTAAATGTAACTGTAGAGAGGTAGCAAATCTATATTACTAGAAGGGAAAAGTATTCTTTTGCTGTGCCTATGGTTGCTTACATTTTTAAGCCTCTAGTTTTCAAAAGTTTTTCGAATGATCAAAAATCTGACAAAACTAGATCATACCCGTGGATCTTCCAGTCAGAAACTTTTATTTTTAAGTATGCTTTTTTCCTTCACTTACACCACAGTTCTTCCAGCAGTTTCTACAGATATTCATCTGCAGTTGGGAAGATCTTGGTAAGCTCTAAGCAGAAGAGTACCTAGACCCATAACCTAAGATATGCCATGCATATCCTACAGACGGAATATGTGTCATGAAGTACTAACAGGAACAAACGCATGATAATTCCTCATTGCCATTTCCAAGTCACAAGCCCTCCTTCCTCTTCCTAATACCCTTCTTTGAAGCTCTTTCATCCACTGAAAGTCCCTGGGTCCCCTTCAGTCACTTCCATGCTGCTCATGTATTCAGCCCTTGGCGTCTGCCTTTTCCAGCACTACCCTTTTAAATGCTTGATGACTTTAGTACTCATTTAGACACATCTACAAAGTACCCTGGCTTCTCTTTTTGTTTAAATCTTTCCTAGTGAAACTTATTATCAACGACAATAGAAGTTCCTAAAGGCATAGTAGGAAATTCTTCCCACTGGCTCATGGTGTGTCTTACACATCCTTTCCAAACAAAAGCTATTGCTTCACCCATAAGCCCTCCATTTTGCATCACCAATGTCTCTCATCCTACTGGGGGATTTCACCCATGTCCTGTGTTACAACCTCCCCTTGGACTTAGTATCCCATTTCATTTCATTTCCATCTATTGGTCTGCTTCCTTCAAAGGAAAACTACCCCAGAGGAACCGTGTCTACTCACTAACTACCTTTCCTTCTTTCCTTGGTCTTTAGAAACACTTAAACTCGGTCTTTTATTCCCAGAATAGTGGCTTAACTAAGGGCATTACTGACTGCCTCCCTGCCCAGTGCAGCAACCAGCTTTGGTTACATGCTGCTAATTGTCAATCTGTGACACAGTGAAGAACTGCTCCTTGAAATAGTTCCTGTGGCTTGGATTTCTGTTTGTTGGCATATGCTAGTAGCTAGTGCTGGATGGATATCCCTTCGGTGATCTCTTCAATGTTGAACCTTAGAAACCATCTATACAATGGCATAAGACACATCTTCATCTCCAACCCCAGCCTCCTTCCTGAGTTCTGGACCCATACACCTAATTCCATAATACATATCTTCATTTGGATATGTGCTGTGTCCTTCCTCTCCCCGCCAAAAAGATTCATGGTCTTCTCCAGATTGGCAAGATGTCAGCTCCACTTTTCCACACCAGAAAATCTCATTGTCACACTCTAATTTTATTCTTTCAAATACTATATTTTAGAAATGTGGCCTTTCATAGGTTCTGGGTATATCCTTGATCTGATCTGGGCTGAGGCTACTTTCTACTTGCCATGATGCTTTTAGACTACAAGCCAAAATATGCCACCCTTCTTCTAAGTTTTACAGTGTCCTCCCAGTTAGGTCAGAATAGCATATTCCTGTGGCCAATAAAGCCAATGAAATCTGTCCTACATTTTCATCCTCCCCAGCTACCTTACCTCTTTCTCTGACCTGATTTTCTCTGTCCACTTAGATCTAGCCATGTAATCCATACTTCCTACAGAATACCCTCACAGCATGCCCTTCTTGATAGACTATTCAGACACCTAATCCATGACCCACCTGCATGGCTCACTCCTTCACTTTCTTGAAATCTTGTTGACAAATCTTCTTTTCCCCTCAGAGAGCTGTATTATAGAAAACCACCACAAATAGCCACATTCTGCTTTACCACCATTCATAGCCCTTCTCATCAGCTACTTTGCTCCTGGGTCTGCCTTTGAAGTTCTTTGAAGAATACCTAGCAGGCAGTAGCTACTCAGTAAAGGTTTATCGAATGGATGCTTGAATGGAAATAAACAAGAACAATTTTGAAATTGTCATAAACTATGTAGCTAATTTTAGTTTCTATACCAAAATTAAAAATCTATCTTCAGAGGCCAGAAAATCATAAAACTAGGCTTTGTTTTTATATAGAAAATGAAAACCCTATGTATTTTCAGTCCTTGCAGGCAAGACACCCGACTTTGACCCTGGCTATCCTTTCTTGCTTCATGAATCATCTTCACAAACTAAGTTGCAGGATTAGAAGAGAAGTTATTACATAGACCACTGAAAACAGCAGCATTTCAAAACTCTTAGACCAACACAAGTAATGGTCCCCTCTAATCTATTAACAGTGCAAGAGAGAGAGAGAGAGAGAGAGAGAGAGAGAGAGAGAGAGAGAGAGAGAGAGATATGCAGATTTGGGGGTGTGGGAAGAGGGCTCTTAATTTTGTTTTATGAAATAAAAGTTAAATCACAATAACAGTCACAGACCTTCTGCTAAATATAGTTTCAAAATATGCCTGATGACATTTGGGTCTTAACAGTCCTTCATGTGGCAAGAGTTGTGTGGCCAGCTTGAGCC